TACTCCTACTCCGACGGCGACTGCGACTGCGACTGCGACTGCGACTGCGACTGCGACTGCGACTGCTACTGCTACTGCTACTGCTACTGCTACTGCTACTGCTACTGCTACTGCTACTGCTACTGCTGCTACTACTTACTACTTACTACTACTGACTACTGACTACATACTACGTACTACTAATTACTAACTAGCTACTAACTACTGTCCCGGCTGCGACAACCTTGCTGATAATTAACGATGAAGATCATGTTGGTGACGCTGATGATCATGGTGATGGTGACGGTGACAACGACGCTGATAATGCAGACAAGGGTGGCAATGATGCCGAAGACGATGATCGCGATGATGATAGCGAGGGTCTGTACAGGCACGATCACATAGAGATTTCTTCCCGCCCGTCAGGATGGGCAGCGAGCTGTGAGGCGTCGTCGGTGCGATGCAGTTGGCCTCCTGACAAGTGAAGACTGTTGTAGCATCGAGCTTAGTAGCTTCCGCTGCCTTTAGTAGCGTGTTGGCTTACAGTTTCTACAGTCCCTGAAAGCGGCTCGCCAAAGACTAATGGGAGGGCATCCAATATCCAATGTTGGTGCTTTGATTGTAACCAGCGACAATTAAGTATTCCTGCATATTACGCCAAAGGCCAACTACAGAGGGGTTGTTCTCACTCAGCTTTCCTGCGGGCACGCGTTTTTAAAGGATACCGGACTCCGGACATGCACAGCTATCATTTTGTAAGAAAAGCCTTTGTTTGGAACACCTCAAGGACAGACAGGTCGTTGCAGCGTCCAAGCTCAAGACCTTTTGATAGACTTGCACAAAAATGCAATGCTATGCACCCGCGAACCCAGAGACTCCAATATCCCTTAATTATGGCATATACCTTATTAAATCTTGTTAGGATTCCAATTCTAATTTCAGGTATTAAGGGATATTGGAGTCTCTGGGAACATGCCCGGATGCCACGCCCGAGGTTGTTGGCTCAGATCTCCTGCAGCAAGTCCATCGGATTGCCCATGTCGCCTTGCACATCGACCATTCCAAGCACCTCATCGGCAGAGGGGCTCAGCAGATGGGTCGTTCAAGTTTGTTTATTAAATTGGGACCCTTTTTTGCATCCGCAAAAACATGCAAATAAGGGCCCTTGCAAAGACCCCACAGAGAACTCCCCATGTAGGGTTGAGCATCCTTCGACATGAATGGTTTAGGCGCTGTGAAAAAGCTAAAGATATAACGGCATACGTCGGTGCTCCTCCACAACCTCAATCTCAGACACATAGCTACATAGCCCACAACCGTGGTCTGTGCTGCTATTCTGACTATTTGGCTATCCTACTATGATTATCATGACAATGCTTGTCGTATCTTATCAAGACAACAGCCCGATACCGATACCCTAAACCCTAAACCCGGAACCCCCAAACCCCAAACCCCTAAATCCTAAACCCCTAAACCCTACACCCGAAGCTCTGAAGACTCGCTTCACAGCTTCAGGCACCTGTCCGTGGAGCGAATAGCCGATCAGCTCTTGCACCACCTCGCAGTCACTGTGGTCACGGGTTGAAGGTTTGTACTTTTTTTTGGTTTTACGCGGGTTTTCAGATTTAGGGTTTAGAGATTAGGGCTTAGTAGTTGGATTGTGCTGCTTTACCTATACTCACAGGCGTCAGGCCTCAGCTGTTGCTTGTTCAGCTGAGTTTGGGGTTTATACAGCTTGAGATGTGGATCTTGGACCGGAGCTCCAGGAAGCTCCGGCTGCCTTCGTATTTCCTTCCGGACCATGGACCGAAGTCTACGTCCCTGCTCAAGCCTGCTTCTGAGGCTGCGCTGAGATTCTTTAACAGCGAGAAGAGGAGGTTGGGGGGCATCTGCTTCTGGTAGAAGGGGACCCCTACACCCTAAACCCTAAACCCTACAGTGCCTGCTACAGTGCCCTCAAAATCTCCATCCAGGCACGGGGGGCAGCTTCACAGCCACCGCGGGTGGTGTAGTCAGGTACCTGACACCAGAGGATGCGTTGGCGGGTTTAGGGTTTTTCTTAGGGTTTGGGATGCCTTCTCTGACAGAGAACCGGTTTAGGGTTTAGGGTTTAGGAGATTTTGGAAGTGTCCGTCAGTTCGCTTGTTGGGCCATGCAGAGGAGTTCAGTGCTTTGCTGTGGCGTCAGGGCCCACAAACATAGACCAGGAGAAGAACGCCGTCCCGCTTTAACTGACAATGCAAAGGCACCCTGATGGCCTCTGCAGTTTGTTAAAAACCCTTAACCCTAAACCCTACAGTAAACGCTTCCCTGAGCCCAAACTCGAAATGGCGGGCACATGTTTTCTTCTTGGCGGACCCAAGCCGGCGAGTAGGCGAAGAGGCACACATCCCGGAAACCATCGGTGCCTGCAGCAACGGGGACTTTCCAGGAGTGCCAGAGTCCCGTGAGCTTCCTTTAGACTCAGGGCTTGAGGTTTAGGGTTTGAGGTTTCAGGGTTTGAGGTTTAGGGTTTGAGGTTTGAGGTGTAGGCTTCAGGGTTCGGGGTTTGAGGGTTTGAGGGTTTCGGCCTATCGGCTCTCATCGACTCTCTGTGGGGCGCAGGGCTACCGATATGTGTAGAAGGTCTTCGACCCCAGAGCTGCTGTGAAAGGGCTGCATCTTCTTGGGCATCACTTTAAAATCCCCGAAGAACCTACCCCTTGTTTATGGACTTATCTGGGTAGAGTTCTCTAAATTCGGGTCCCTTTTAGGGTCCCTTTTTTTATTGGGGCCCTGAAGAGGGACCCGAATTTAGAGAACTACCCATATACGTACGTGCAACGGAAATCTTCATGAGGAGCCCGGGGTTCGGGTAAGGGCCCTGTGGGCTTGGAGGATCATGGAACTTACTGAGTAAGGTTATAACTACCTTAATTGGAGTTATAACTAAATATAACCATAGTTGCCTTATTTATAACCCTCTAATTACTAAGTCCCATGATCCTCTAAGTAGGCTTCGGGACCCCGGGGGTGAAATCCGTGGGTTGCAAGCGGAAGGATTCCTTTGCTCTACCCAGGAACACGACATCCTATCATGTCCTATAACGGTTTAGGGTTTAGGGTTTAGGGTTTAGTCCAGGTCTAGGGTCCTTTCTATCTCAACTAGAAAAAAGGCCCCATGAATTACCCATAGGCCCCTAAGTAGCTCCTTTTTGTGGTTTATATTTAGAATCCTATAAGGTAATCCCAACAAAAGGAACTGCTCAGGAGCCCATGAATTATACAGTAGTCCGAAACTCCTTCTCGAATTTTAACCCTAAGCCCTAAACCCTGCAAGCTGCGGTTGGCGGATGCCCCGTGGACGGTCGCAGAGGGGTAGAGAAGGACACTGCCCCGGGGCATGGTTGCCAGCACGCAGTCCTCCTGGTGGGGCTTAGGGTTTAGGGTCTAGGGTTTCGGGGTTTAGGGGTTTAGGGTTTAGGGGTTTAGGGTTTAGGGTTTAGGGGTTTAAAGTTTAGAGGTTTAGAGGTTTAGGGGTTTAGGGGCTTAGGGTCCTCCTGGAGAAGCAAAAACAAGGCTTCGGGAGAGCTGGGTTTCAGGCTTCGGGTTTGGGGTTTGAGTGCTCCGGGAAATTTTTTGGGACGGTTGAGGGTTGAGGGTTTCGGGAGAGAGTTCGGGGTTTAAAGGTTCAGGGCTGCGTGTTAGCTTCTCTCATTGGCGCTTTATGTTCAAGTCGAAGGCCTGTGGTTTGGAGACAACAGCTACGCAAAGGCAACTTAGAAGCGACTTTCAGAAGCAACATAACCCAGAACTCAGAAAACCCTGAACCCTAAACCCAGGACTCAGACTACTGCACAAGCTCACGGCTCCTCACTGGGCTTCCAGCCAACCTCCTTCTCTTGCGCCCGTGTTCTCTTCAGTGTCATGTCGAGATTCACATCCTCGCGCCTTTGGCGGATGAGGGAAGGAAGCTCGACATTTCGCAACCACTTTAAGTCAACACAAAACCCAAAACCCTAAACCCTATACCCTGAGCCCTAAACCCGAAACCCTATAAGAATTAATTAAGTCTAACCTAGATCTTCAGGTTGCTTCGGTGCGGGTTTCTGGCTTAAGCTGTGCAGGCTGGTGCTGCTGACTCTGTGAGAAGAATCCCCGCTGCCGCACCGCACCCAGTAAGGGTATTCTGGGTAGGACTTCTCATCCTATCCACAAGAACAGATCTTGAAAGCCGCATACGGTTGATGATATAAATCCTGCACTACCCAGAATAAGGAATATACCATAATTCCCACAGTTTAGGGTCCTTACGGCAATGCAGGATTTATATCATCAACAATAGTGTAGAAGCTGTAAATTCCCACTCCTACCTTTCAAAGGCCCCGGCCCTAACCCGCTTAAACCTTGCACTCAAAGGTCCGAACTTACACAAGATGTAAACTCCCTAAACCCTGAAACCCTAAGCCCTACACTGTATGGGTAGTTCTCTAAAGTAGGGTCCCTTCTCAGGTCCTTTTATAAGGGTGCCGTACTATATTCGGGATCTCAAAAGGGGCCCTAATTTAGAGAATTCCTCGTATCAGAGATAAGAGCAAGGCGCAAATGCGATCCGGGAATCACCCTCGTGGCGCCATTCATCTCGGTACCTACCACGAGTTCTTCCGAAAGGCCGACAACCCAAGTTGCGCTTGGGCTTAGTAGGGTTTAGGGTTTGGGTTTAGGGTTTTTTTTTGAGGGCTGGGTCTAGTTTAGGGCGCGGGGGTTTAGAGTTTGGGGCTTTCGTCGGTGTACGCAGAGCTTAGTCGTAGTCAGGCGACCCTGCCGTGACCCTTAGCTCAGAAGTTATGAACCTCAAAGCAAAGCCCCAGCCAGCTTTCACAAGTGCAAGAAAAAGAAAGAAGCCTTAAAACATGGGTAGTTCTCTAAATTAGGGTTCCCTTTCCGAGTCCCCCAAACTAGTACGGCAGCCTTATGAAAAGCACCGTAAAACAGGGACCCTAATTAATTTTGAGAAGCCTTCACACATGAAAGGCCAAACCACAAGGTTCACAGCAAAGGTGCAATCCGACAAAGCCCAGAGCGCCGCCACTCCCCACTGCGCTCCTGGGAAGTAGCCTGACTCGGAGGCAGGGTGGGCACAAGGGCTGCGATTTTGCTTGACAAGGTTGCTTAGAGGATCATGGGGCTTGGTAATTAGGGTTTTAGGGTACCATAGCTATATTTTATTCTAACTCCAATTTAGGTATTTATATCCTTACTCACAAAGTTCAGGATCCTCCAAGTGCTTTCGGTTGCCAGGTGTGTGCTGGTGGTAGGCTAGGCCCTGCAATGTGATGATGACAACTAATTTCCAGAGTTGCTCGATGTGCTTGAGTTCTTTGTTGACATCTTGGGCCTGGATTTCGCTCCTTGTGTTTTAGTGGCTTGGTTTAGAGTTTAGGGCTTAGGGTTTAGAATGGCTGTTGCCTGCTACCGGAACGCATGTTGGAAGTTTGCAGGCTTTGTCAAGCTGTGAAGGGGGAGAAAACCCAAGCACAGGCCCAAGGGTTCGGTCAGGTCCTTCTTCAGGGTATACCTCGACCCCTCAGCAAAACCTGTTTAAGGACTTCTGCATGGAAACCATAATAAGGAACGAAGGTTGATTTAGGGCTCAGGTAGGACGTACGGTTGATGATATAAACCCTGCATTACCCATAGAAAGGAATATATACCATAATTCCCATGGTTTAGGGTCCTTAAGGTAATGCAGGATTTATATCATCAACAGTATCTCTTGTCGGGCCTGGTTCGCCGCGACCGGGCTTCAGATCCATGGCAGGGACGCTGTGCCGATCTTGATGCAGGGGCTGCTTGCCCTCCCCTGCAGACAAGGGCTCTTAGGGTTTGGAAGTGCTCTTGGGGGCTTCCAAAGTAGATCCAAAACCCTAATAAACCCTTAGCCCTAAGGCTCTGAGGACTCATATTTTTGAAAGCTTCTGGGCAAAAATACCCTACTACATAAGGCTATTTTGAGCCTTAGGCTTCGGTGAACCCTTACCACCTAAAGCAATCTCGATTCCCTTCAAAGGGGATGCACAGCATCGGTTGGGGGGCCGGCCCCAAAAAGACCCAGAGTTTAGGGTTTAGGGCTTAGGGTTTAGGCTTTAGGGCTTAATCATGGTTTTCTGAACCTTTGAAAACTGCAGCCTGGCAGATATGTAATCCTATGTTTATATCATTTTCTAAGCTCCAGAAGACGACCCCCACCCTCCACCGAGAAACCTTGCCACCCCGGATCTGCAACGATGAAAGACTTCGAGATATTTCTAGCTGCTCTAGATTTGGATTCGAGGGCTGAGGGTCTTTGGAAACCCTATAGGATTTAGGGGTTTAGGGTTTAAGGTTTACGGCCATAAACGCTCAAAATGGGTCAGGATTTACCATGGCTTGGGCCGATCCTTCAAGCGTGTCTCTAAGCAGCAGGATGCAGGTGAGTGGTCATCAGTTCTTCACCGGAGAAGTTCCCATCCGAGTACAGTAGTCGGGTCTACATTTCATCCCCAAGTCTCCTGGACCCTAAACCCTAAACCCCTAAACCCTAAACCCTAAACCCTCTCCTGGACACAGGCGCCGGAACATGCCGATGTGCAGCTGCATGCGCTCGCAGTAGGGCGCCAGCAGTGCCTCTGCGACGCTGAGCACCGTGGGGTGCGCCGCCAGCTCGCAGATACTCGGGGCCTTGCCGAGGACCTCAGCGCGAAAGACTGGGTTCTGGTAAGGGATTTGATTTAAGCTACCATAGTAAGGAAACCATATTGTTTACTATAGATCCCCATGATGGCAACTTAAACAAACTTCCCTAACAAGAACCCAGAAGAGATACTGCCCCGGAGATTTTGCAGAAGCTTCGGAGCCCTGGTTTCGGGTGCCTCTGTGAACACATAGCCTGCACCCAGTCTAGAGGTGCAAGCTCCGCATGCATTGGGGGTATTTAGGGGTGACACACACTCTCCGGTGCTGTGCCGTGTTCAGCCTGGAGTGTATGGAGGACGGCTTCAGGTGGAGGGGCATCGACTCTTTCAACAAAACAGCATCATTTAAACCGTCTGCGGTAAGAAGGCCTGAAGAGTTCCGGCGTACAGTGACCTCCACATCTTCCCCCTTTTGTGCCTACTATCTACACTACAGAGGCTGAGGCTTTGAACAAAGCGCCGAGTGGAATCAAGGCTCGAGGCCCCCTGTTTCATCCGAAAATATCGGCCAAAGACCTAAAGTAAAATTCCTGATTCCTAAACCCGAAGCCAAAAAGTTAAAACAGCTCAACTACTCGGGGAAGCTTGGTGTCCAGGTGGCCCCGAGCATGCGCTTGGTTCGATTTCCCATGAAGTTTGCATGCTCAGGCAGCATTACCTCAGCTGCACAGCAAGCCTTTATAGGGCTTATGATGGGGTTCTGTGTTTCGGGATTAGGGTCTGGAGTACCAGGAGAAGAAGTGCCCTACGGTTGATAAAATAGATCCTGCATTACCCCTAATAAGGAATTCACAATAATTCCCATAGCTTAGGGGCCTTAAGGTAATGTAGGTTTTATATCATCAACAGGACGGACCAGGAGAAGAGGTGCCCTATAGGGAGCTTTCGTGAGCCTGTTTCGGAACTGCCCTGCGTCTCTGGCCAAGACCCGTTGAGGCTGTCGTTCGAAGGTTCTTAAAAGATTCGTGGTTTTAGGGTTTAGGGGTTAGGATTTATAAGGCTTAGGGTTAGGGTCTAGGGGTTTACTGGTCGGTACAATGACGATCCTGCTATTCAGGTCTCTCTTTTGGGGATGCGTGATTTTTTTTTAAAGTTGCGCGAGGGCTGATACAACTCTCGTAGCATTTCCTAAGATCAGTGTACAGGGTCCCTCGGCAATCTTCCATCATTAAAGCCTCGAGCTTCGTAGGCTTTGGGCCTAGCACTTTGCACCAAAAACTTCCCAAACACCCCTGAACCCTCAACCCTACAGAGTGTTGCTCACATAAACTGCGCCAACACAAAGCCAAAACCAACAGCGAAAACCTCGGGTCTCTCGGCCCTACACCCTAAGCCCTACATACCGCAAACCCTAAACCTTAGACCCCTGCACCCCTATACCCCTGAACCCCTAAACCCCAAACCCTAAACCCTAAACCCTATATCCCAAACCCTAAGCCCTAAACCCTATACCCCAAACGCTAACCCTGAACCCCACAAGACACAAAATCTGCTAAGTCCCAGCTCGGCTACGCCTGCCCCTTCGGCGGCCACAGCGCGGCCGGCCACGTGGGGCTCGAGCTCTTCGGAGATGCGAGCCATGTGGCTCTCAGGGATCAACTCCTACGGATTTAGGGTTCAGGGTTTAGGGTTTTCGGTTTAGGGCTCCTTTAAGAGGTTTATAATGGTACTACTGTTGATGATATACATCCT